TATTATTCTCTCGCCTTATAGATGTTTGTGAAATTGTGTGCTCTCCGCTTAGTCTATTTAATTAGTCTAGACTCGGACCAGCACTACTAGAACGCACTTCCTAATTGGCTTTTGACCACGTAGTATACAGACAACGGATCTGCAAGAATCTGTGAATTCTTTGTGTAGTTCTTCAAGTTGATGGAAGATGGACTCTACGGAGCTCTTCATTCAATCCATTGTTATTTTTTTAAGAGATCCGTCCGAACAATCCGTCTTGGCGGCACTGGTGGAGAGTCCTGCGGTCTTAATGGTGGCCACAGTCGACCACATCAACGCTACGCTTATACAAACAAATGTAAGGCATGGCTTAGAAACCTGATCAAATGGTCAACTATTTGCCTCACTTTTCCTATTCAAGCATCATTTGCAATCTTTCAACTGGATATACTATCGTGCCGATACATTCATATTCTCGTGGAAAGAAATAATTGCGGGACAATCCGTTTTGCTAGGTCTAAACCCGAAAAGCAACCAAACAGTGAGTCTCTCCTTCGTTCGTTATAGCGTTGTTTGTTTGAGGAGCCGTTCTTCTTCGATACTACGGTTTTCCTCTTTTCCAACAATTTTTTAGACCCATTCGCTGTCCTCCCTTGATGTTTTGTGGCAGTCACTGGCTGCGAATTCTCGCTTGATCCTTCGCATGTTCTACGCAATGTTCTTCCATACTAAGGAGCCTGTGGCCTTCTGGGATCTATTCAGCGCTGCCAAGTTAGTGCCCATCCTGAAATGTTCTGTTACAGGGGATTCACAGTAGTCCGAGTTAATTTGTTTCATTTTTCAGAGACGAGTTCCTTGTGTCGTCGGATACCGCGCTTCGTCAGCAATTAGTGGAGTTGAGCGATCATCGCATACTCAAGTGAGTTTATGAGCGCTTACATCGAGTTAGTCTCCTTCAGTGAAACCAACATAGAATTAGAAAGGCTTTGAACAGCTCTATTCTGCTTACTCAAATTTTATAATACATTGATCGAACCAGGACACAACCGAGAATGGTTTTTACCCATTTAGCGAAAGGTAGGTTCCGAGCTATATGTTCTGTGGGAGAAGGTACTAACCTAGACAGCAAGGAACGGGTGGGATTTGTGAGTGCCTTTTACGAATACTCTGGAACGAATATCATTCCTGGTATCAGTAGGTTCTGAGAAAAAGAAGGCAGGTGTGACAAGCCCACATGGCTCATATATGGTCGCGAGTTGAATAAGCTTACCTGCCTAAGACCAAGCCTTCTATCTCTTTGAGAGCGGCTCCAGACCTGCCTGGGAAGATACAAACTGGTAGAGAATGATCAAGAAATGAACGAAAGACTTGCATATGCCAAACGAGAACAGGCTACGGGCCCTGTATAGAAAGGTTTTGAGAAATAAGGGAAGGCTATTTTCACGATGAAAGAAATTGGCTGTAAAAAATTTTTGTCATATGAATACGAAACAGTGTTAAATGACCTTGAAGAATGAGCGTTTTAATTTTTTGTTATTTTTTCCTTGATTTGAGAAGGCAACCTTTTTTTGTATTCATAAGATTTATGATTTCTCGGTTCAGGTGGAAAAGAGGCGAGGAAGGAAATGAGCAACTGGTTGGCTGCTTAGACAGGAATCTCGTCGAAAAGTTTCTCGAAGAGAAGGGTCTCAATTTGGATATGGTATGAACATTCACATGGGAGTTTGAGCTCACACAACTTAAACTTCGTGATCTTCGAACTCCTAAATGATCTCCCATTTCCTATCCCTCGATTTAACGCTGTATTTGTTGTGCTCGAGCTTCCTGACATTCCACTCACAAGTAAAGTTGGGTCGAGTAGCTCAGTGTTGTTAGAAAATTCATTGTACAGTGCAAGGTTTTTTTTTGGAAAAGACTGCCCGTTGATATATCCTCATGTCCATTTTGTCACCTCATTAAATTTGATATACTGTGAAAAACTCGCAATAAACATTGAATTCACCTACCATCATGCTTATGTCAACTTCCTCAAGCGGGAGCCAGTAACGTTTCGATTGATCCCTTTCGCGAGCCGCAACAGTCAGACTTTTTTCGCGAAAGCTGAATGAAAGGAGTGCTATGCCTCGTATCCTTGTGTTTAGTCCAGTGGATCGTCCTTGATCGGGGGATACGAGGCAGAGCACTCTTTTCTTTTAGAGCACTCGTAAAAAAGTTGACCGTTGCACTGACGGCCGTCCTGGTGTTCGCTTGACATCCCGAGGGATCCAGTCAGTGATCGGCCTGGTCCATCGGTCATTACAATATCGCATAACGTGTCCAGCCCACTTGATCTTCGATACTTTGACGAGAGCAACGGCATCCCTGATCTTTATAACTCCAGGTCGATTAATTGGTATAAGATTCATCTGGGAGAGTGAGAGACCTGTCTGGTACATCGGCTGGCCATCGCAATTCTTCGTATAGGCATCATGCGCATTCAAATGCCACTATAATTCTGAATTAAAGTCGAGTGCAGAACCGCATTCCAAAGCGGGATCTACGCCACAAGACTCTCTCTTATTCCTAGCCTTATGAAAGACTCGAAGAGAAAAATTCACCTGTTCTAGAATATTTAAGTACCCTGTTATTATTGTGGGTCAAAAATTTTGTAAGAATATGCGGAATTTGCCTTCAGAATAGTCAGCTCAAGAATGGCGAGATTCAAGTGGGGGAGGACGAAAAAACAGCTTCTTTTGGAGATTTGCACATCTCAATCGTTAAATAAAAGCTCAAAGCTTGATGAGATTGATCAAGTACGGTATAGGGGTATAGGCAAGATGTATATATGCATGACAGCTGAAGCGCAGAACTGAACGAAGGAAACTCATTCGATCTATCCGTAAATTTTACTCGAATCTTATCCTACCATTAAAAACGACTCCTCTATGCCGGGGTTGAAGTATGGGACCCCTCTGTCACGGGTTAGGGGACAAAAAGCATAGGTAATTCCTAATGGCGCTGAAAGAGCTCATGTTTCCATCTCAGGTCAAACAACCACCTCTAAAAGCTCATTGTAACGAAAGTCATTCGATCTATTCGTACGCTTCCTATCGGCCTCAGCTTCGTCGTAGCAGACTTTCTTGACACCTGCATGAGGACTTGGAAATAGTTGGCCCCCATCCCGGCCTAGCGTTCAAGTGAGAAAGGTGGCGTCAGTAGACCAAGAAAGTGAACCTCTCCCCCATTGAAGGTGAACTAAGCTGAGCAAACGCTATTGAAGAAGAAGAAGGTGCTGGCTATTGCCTATGGCATGGTAAAGGAGAACTATTNTATTTACCAGAGGAACCGAGCCCATGTGAGAGTGTATTTCATCTCCGGTGGTACCCTCAACGGATGTTAAACATGTGTTCGGTCAAAGACCGCTTTCGTAAGCCATCATATCGCCGAGTAAACAAACTGGCGTGCAATCACTTGGAGCTGCGCGACTTTTCACGCCAAGTCCATCACCCGAGTTCGTTGATCCGAGCCAATTGCTGCTACGGCCGGGAGTTTTTGCCCATTTTAATGTGATTCACCGGATTTGTTGTAAAGTGTTCCGTCCGATCATTGGGAGTCGGACGTTTTTTTTCATCGTCGACTTTTGATTTTAATAACAGCTGCAAATCTCGACTGATTCCTCCTCTAGTACTTCATCTTCCCGTGGAATTGCAGATTATGCTTTCTTGGTTTGGAAATCCCTGGGATAATCCCGTAGTGTATGTTCTGGCAATGTAAGCAATGTTGCCGTGGAGAGCTAAGATTCCTCCGTTGCGAACTTTTTCACAAAAGAGGCGCTCTTTTTTGTGTGTACTAAGAGCACCCGAGTCAAGTTTCTTTGCGCTCACCTATGTGACTTGACATCTCCCTCATTCTCCCATCTCTTGACTTTGATTGTTCTCAGCACCTACTTCTCTGTGTAACTACTAAAAAAGTAGTAAATCCATTTGAATAGTCCAATTGACGAATTCCTCCAGCCATTTCCTCGATACTCATTCCTAGACGTTTTTCGAGCGGAACTGATTTCATTTGCTTTTCTTTCTCATTCTGATTCAAGAGTTGGTTTTAATTTTTTCATTCAAATTTTTATAAAAATTCAAAAAAAAAAANAAAAAAAAATCCTAGCTTCAAGTGTAACACAAAATATTTCCATACACCTTTTGTCTGAAGGGAATGGACTGGACTGAGATTTTGAGATTTCTCCTGACGTTCGCGTAGTCTGGAGGGTGGAGGGTAGAAAAACATGGCCGTTCAATGCTCAAAGATTGATAATCGGTCCCGAAATCGCTGAGATGTTGGGAAACACCGATTTTATCGGCAGCTGAAATTCATCATACGGGCTCGATAAGTTACAAAGTATCTGTGCAAGAGTTGACGGAAGTGCATAACGGAAAGATCTGCCAGCAGTGACTGCCAGCAGTGGAAAGACTTCGCCTTCATAATTTTCAGCTGAAAAGGTAACGACATAGATCACAATAATCTTGGGGTTCCCCTTTGGAGTCGAAAACCGAATGTCTAGGTTGGAATTAGTTCATTGGTAGTGAAGAAAGCGAGGAAATCTGCCGATTTCAAGGAAAATGAGGCTTCTTTCAAGTAGGGGAAATAAAGGTAGGACGAGATTCCCATAACGGAAATGACATGGAAGGGGTATCCGGACGAGATTTCAGTTGCTGCATTTGCGCAGTCGCTGACTATATCAAACAGAATTGTCCAGAACTGACTTTCACTGTCACTATTGGTCATTACAAGGTGTTTGAACTACTACATGGATTCCCTTGTCATGGGTGCAGTCTCTACAGTGCCGGTGAAACTCGTCCGAGGATACACACGGGACAATCTTTGAGATTCTATAATGCCCTAAATAGGCCGTCTTCCGACCTGGTAGCGCCAAATATGGTATACGAGGAAATATTGTCGAATTCATCCTATAGGGAGATCTCAGAAACTATTTTATGTGCCTGTAAGACTATGTTCAACCCGCTAGTGGAATACCCCACGTATTTGGCTTCCTTTAGAATCGTGGTAGCGTTTGATTGCGTACAAAGCTTACATTATGGAATGTTGAAGCCAGTTGATGGGCAGGGCATTGCTTTTATTTTTTCAGACGGGTATAGCACCAATGAATCGATCTGGATGGCTTAGAAGGGAAGTAGCTGCGTGATTTGATCCCCGGACCATGCGCCTGATAGTACGCCAGCCACTTGGTACAACCCTATTTGCGAGCTGGGCAATAGCCACTATAACCCTTCCGGTCAGACGGCACGTCATAAATTTTATGGCTGGCTTATGTGGCTGCGAAAAAAAGAGCGGAAAGTCGATTATACTACTCATAAGTCAAGTGGAATTGAAGTGCCAGCCACCGGCCTATCAGTTTTTCAATGTCAATTACCAATATGTACTTAGCTTTCGCCATTTTTGCAAAGTTTAAAAGTGTGCCATTTTACTTTTATAAAATATCGTCAACAATTAAGCCGTCAAGACAAAATTGAAGAATTTTATA